TAGGTCAGGCTTAGATTTAGGCCGGGGCTTAGGCCTGGGTTTAGGCTTGGGCTTAGGCTTAGGCTTATGTTTAGACTTTGGTTCAGGCTTCCGCCTAGCTTTTGACTTAGGTTTGGCTTAGGCTTAGGAATAGGCTTAGGCTTAGCTTAACCTCATTATGCTTTGGCTCAAGCTCCGGATCACAAAAATTGGAAAAATCGGAATTTAACCATTTTAAAGGAGCTGTTGAGTCTAGAATTCGATCCAAAAGAGTGTAAACTGGAAAAATCGGAATTTTCGAAGAGCTGCGACGTCTTAAAGAGCCAGAGCAGAAAAGCACATCAATAGGTGTTAAGAGGAAAATTCGGAATCCAGTGTCAGTTTTGGACGTTTCAAGGGGCCCGTAAGTTGAAAATGGCGTCCGAAAAAACCGGGCCTCCAAAAAATTGTCATATTCCACTACAATACTCCGGACACCCGGAAAAACTTTATAAAATTCTGGACTTTCAAATATTAGTCACGAAACCCTAGGTTCGAGGAGTGCATAAATCCCCGCCATCGCGTGCTGCAAATATTGGGCTTGGGCCATCCGAAAAAAGTGAAAACCAGATAGAAAAAGTGTGCTTAAGTACGTGAGTTGTGGAGTGCCCTGGGGGCAAGTGCAAAGTGGCCCCACTTGGCCACGCTTCCTTTTTAGAAAACAACAAGAAGAGTGAGGGCGAAAAGCACTTCGCAGGGCACGTGGCGCGGCTATAGTTTAAATCTGGAATTGCGTGAAGTGGGTGGAAAACAAAAGCTGGAAATCCTGGGTGCTGTATCCAAAAAAATTGCAGATCGAAAATTGCAAAATAAGAAAATAGGAAATATTCAATTTAGCTCTTTCCTATTCAAAAAATCTATTTCAATTTTTTTGCTGTAAAAATATTATTTTTTGCCTCAAGTTTTTCTCCCACCCTTCCTCTCTCTCGCCTTCTCTCGCGTTCTCTCACTCTCTTTCACGCTCTCTCTCACTTTTTCCCGCTCCCTCTCTCTCTCTCTCTCTCTCTCTCTCTCTCTCAATCTCGCAACAGCCGTGTAGCAATTTCCGCGTTTCCACGTGCGGATAATCAAGTCCACGAGATCCCGTTTGAGCCGCGAGCGCATAAATTTTAATCCAATCTGAATATATTCATGGTGCGCCTAGAGACAGAGAGAGAGATAGATAAAGAGATAGTAACCGAAAAATCGCGGAAAACCCCCAATTTTTCGAATTAAAGGGACAAGGACAGCTCGATCTAGCGTCTCAGTTAAATAGTTTAAAGGTACAGTGCCAGCAAAGTTACCGTACTCCAACCTCGGGGTAGCTAGCAGAGTGTTTTAGGGAAAGGGCCAAGAATCTGCAGAAAAAGGTCAGCCAGCAACGCCAGAAATCGTGGCACCAATCTTTCATAGCCGCGGGCCATTCGGGGGAAATATGGGTTTGTTGGTGAAGAGAGAGAGAGAGAGAGAGAGAGAGAGAGAGAGAGAGGCATAGAGAGTGAGAGAGACGTGCCTTGTCTTCTGAAGCGTCGGTGGAGGACGAAGATTGATCCGGAGCTTCAGAGAGGAAGGAGGAGGAGGGCCATCCCTCCCTTTATATTGTTGATACCTCGAGTGGGTGGAGGAGGGTTCTTTTCTTGGCGAACACACCCTGACTTCTCTTTAGCCTCTCAAAGTCAGCAGGCGAAAACAAAGTCAGTTTTTGGGAATTTCTAGTTAAGGTGGCTTCAGAAAGCTGAAAATCGAGCTTGGGCTTAGGTATATATGGGTCGGGGCCTGCGGGTGCCGCCAAATGCCCCTCTCGAGGAGCCTTTTGGGGGCGTCTTGGGTGGCCGGCGGGCGCCGTGGGTGGGGCATTTTTCCGGTATGCAGCGATGTAAATTGCAAAAAGTCATCTGAAAAGCGTTTTTTCGCAATTTGCATCGCTGCATACCGGAAAAATGCCCCACCCACGGCGCCCGCCGGCCCCACCCAAGACGCCCCCAAAAGGCTCCTCGAGAGGGGCATTTGGCGGCGCCCCCCAGGCCCCGACCCATATATAGGCTTAGGTTAAGCTGAGGCTTAGACTTAGGCTTCGGCTCGGGCTTAGGTTCTAAGCTAAGAACAAAAAGCTTCATAAGCCTAAGTTCAACCACCAGACCCGAGACCACCCAAGGCCACCCCAGCCGGAAGGGCCCAGCCGCTTAGGACCAGCCCGAATGACTGCAAATCACGGAATTTGGACACCCTAGACACGCCTTGGATGGCTTGGGAATCTGCATCAAGCTTCAAGATGTATAATTTTAGAGCGAGAGAGAGAGAAAGAGAGAGAGAGAGAGAGAGAGAGAGAGAGCGAGGTGGGAGAGAGACAGAGAGAGATACACAAACAACCGTTCAAAAATCCCGAGCTCAAAATTCACGGCCAATTAGCATCGGCAGGTGTTTTTTAGGAATTGATGACAATTTGGGGAATTTTGATACTTTTTCAAGACCAAAAATCAGGATAAAACGGGTTGGACAAAGCTCAGATTTAAATCCGGATTCAAATCACGTTTGGCCGGGGGAAATTGAGCATCAGCTTGGGGGTTTCGGTCGATTTCCGGCGATTCTTGCTCGAGGGATCGAGCGCGGGAGGATTTTAGAGGTTACTAAAGTTAAATCACTCTCTTTAAACGAAACCATGATTTTAAATTACGTAAATTTACCTTAAAATTATGCTAATGACGAGAAAAAAGCGCAAATGGAAGCAGGTTGGGAATAAGCTTTTGAGAGGAGCTGTCAGCTGTCCCTCCTGCCTCTTCCGGAATTCCGGTGGTGCCTCGGGGGGCCCGAGAATCTCATCGAAAATGTGTGACCCAGGGGCCCGAATTTGGGGTGGGCCAGGGAAGGAAGGGCCTAAAAAGGACCCTCCTTGGCCCTGCTTTATTTTATTCCCGGATTGCGTCAATTCGGAGGTCTTAAGAGCTGGCTATTTAGAGAGGGAAACAGAGAGAGAGAGGGAGAGTGAGGGAGACAGAGAGTACCAGATTAACGAGATAAACGTAAAGAAACGTAGAAAAAACAGGCGGGAGAGAGGGCGAAGCGAGAGAGAGCAAGAGAGCGAAAGAGAGAGCAAGAGAGAGAGAGAGAGAGCAAGAGAGAGAGAGAGATACCGAGAAATTTTATGGTATAATATCGGTTTCCATCAATATTTATGCAAGAAATATATGTTGTAGAGCGGAAACCGACAAAACTGGCCGCACCCACCCCTCGTCTACTGGAAACGAGATTTGCAATTGGCGCGCGCGGGCGGGTCCCGTGGGTCCTCCTCCCCCTCTTTTGCACCAAACGATGCGCAACATCCCCCCAATAGCCCCGGAAATTGCAGAAGCGTGCTGCTCAGCTCGTGCTCGGGCTCGAAAAAAATGGGTAAATTGCTCAGTCTCAAAATTTGTTTAGGCTTAGGCTTGGCGTCAAGAGGTTTGAGAGCACGAGATCAAAGAGGTCAATTTCCGGGGGCTCAAGCTCAGGGGATCCACTCTGCCGTAGATCAAGAAGTGGCTGCATAACTTGAGGAGCCCGAGGTCGAGGAGGTCAAGCTAGCTAGGCCCAGTGCGATCAGGATCACGAGCTCAAGGAAGTCACGCTTCGGAAGCTAAAGTACGACCTGACGAAGCTGAAAGTCGCCGGTAGAGCTGGAGGCCGGCTTCAGAAAGGCAAGCTTTGAGTCTCAAGCTCAAACAGTTCGAGTTTCTGAAGCTCCAGTTAGCGAAAAGCTCAGGTTCGGGGGTTCCAGCTTCGGAAGCATAAGATGACCAAGCTCAGAGTTTCGAAAAAAACTCAATATCAAGGAAGTCGAGCACCTCGACCTAACGTATCTCGGAGTTACCGAGGTCAAAGCTCAAGCTCAAGAAGTTCAGGCTCCTCAAGCCCAACCTATGGTATCTAATCCACACAGATATCTAATCAAGGATCAAGCTCAGGAGTTCGAGCTAAGTGTGCGATTCAAAGCGACGTCATTCTCAAGACGTTCAATTAAAAAACCCATAATTCCTAAAAAGTCAATCCATCGCCGGGGGTAAGTGTAGATGGTCGAGCGGTGCAGTTGGTGGATGGAACGGGATTTGAGATTTGGCAGGGGGTGAGGAGGGTGGGTCCCGGGGGGGAATTGCCCTCCTCCTGCTCTTGCTCCCCTTCTCCGTCTCCGCACATCAAACGTCTCCAGGGCATTTCCCTCCTGCTTTTTTCACTGACAAGGGAAGGTTGTTTGGGTCAGGTGTCAAATCGACTTGAAACTTTGCCGGTGGATAGAAAATCAAAAATAAAGTGGAGTTTCTTAATCTCATTTTTTGCACAATACCCCAAATTAAAAAGTTATAGGTCTTTGAAGTTACATAAAAAAGCACGAAACGACCCGACAATTCTGATCTGGTCCTCATTGTGGCCTGCCCCCTTTTCAAGCTCTTGCGTCGCCCGGACTGGCAAGCTGTTTGGCGCAGTAGGTCGTGCCGTAGAGTGCAAAACTTTTTAAATTTTTGTAGTCGAGTTCAAGTCTTTGATGCGTCCAACTTTTTGCTTTTTGGATTTTACGCCAACTAACCCTCATTTGCAAGAGCAAAAAGCAAAAAGCAAAAAGATAGAAAAACTTTAGTCTCGAACTTTTGCCAAAAATTTTTCAAAAGATTGTGAGTCAAGCGCGCTACCGATTGCGCTAGAAGAGACGTGGGGAGCGGAGACGAGAGAGGGTCAAGAAATCACGCATGAAGAACATGTGGAAACGGTGCGGTATTGGTGCAAAAGCCTGCGCAGAACTCATTTTTCAGACCACAAACTTAAAATCCTTATAACTTTTTAATTAGGGGTATTGTGCAGAAAACGACTTAGCGCACCTTGTTCCGTTTTCAATTTTCTATCCACTGGCTAATTTTCAGAAAGATTTGACACCTGACCCAAACAACCTTCCCTTGTGAATCTACTCTAAAGGGCAAAAGGAAGGGGGCAAGAGTTGTCCCTTGATTTCATTTATCAGGAAAAGGGGGATTCTAGGTGGTTTTCTGGGTGAAATCTTTACTTCCCGGTTCGTCGACACGCTGGAGATGATCTTAAAGGGGCTGGGAAGTGTGGAGAAATTGGGCTAGAGACTTAGGTATTAAAGAAAGATGAAAAAATTCCCAAACGGTGTTAGCTAACTTGCCCGGCTTTGAAATTCCTCAAGAAACTTTGCTGGTTTGCCCCAAAAGCTTATAATTTCGTAAAGACTCGCTGCTACTGTCGATAAAGAATCAGCAAAAGATCTCTGCTGGTTCGCCTTAAGAAACCCTGCTAGCTGCCCGGTTCAGAAAATCAAGTGGAAAACCGACAACAACGACACAATCCAATGGACAATTGGCCAAGACAGCCGATTTGCCATGGCTTTTTTGCGTTGACCCGAATCACAAGACCCAGCGGCAGTTAAAGAAAAGAGAGAGAGAGAGAGAGAGAGAGAGAGAGAGAGAGAGAGAGAGAGAGAAAGAAGCAAGAGTTAGGGAGGACAAATGAGCTGGCGGGGAGATTGAGCGATTCCATGTTCTCATCGGCCGCGCTACAAGGGCGGGGTTGAACAACTGACGGTTCGGGCGGGTGGGGAGGGGAGGGTGATGCTCAACTTCCTGCAGAGGGTGGAGCCCTCATGCTCTCCCAATCTCTCTCGAGGTTGTAACCACACCTATCAACTTGGTCAAACGGGAATCTGGGGGAATTCGGGTTAGCAGTTTTAGGTGGGTTTAGAAGGGGAAGGGAAGGCAAAATGCCGACAGCAAAATTGAAGTCTAAAAAGCCGACAGCACCGGGTTTCCAAGCTTTAAAGAAGCGGAAAAGTCGAAAAATAAAATACCGACGTTTGATTTTCTTTTGGGGCTGCAAAGTGACCGGGAAAAAATAACGACAGCGTAGATGTCGAAAAAATGCCGACAAGAATGACTTCTTGGAAAGATGTCAAGGGAGAGGCTGTATTTTCGACAAAATATACCGACAGCAGCCGTAAAACGACCAGGGTTTTGCAGGGGCCACTGAAAGCGCGGATCTGACCAAAAACACCGAAAAGTGCGTGGAGGAAGGCGAACGTCTTGAAGGAGTCGGTGAAGAGCGTGTTCGCACCGAGAACACGGAGCAGTGCTAACAAAATTGGTTTCGAAACCAATAAGAGTGTCGAAAATGTCGAAAAAATGCCGACAGGACTGAATTTTTAGCGCACGTTAAACATAAGATATTCCATCACAAGTTGAACAAGTTGAAAAATGTGTAGATAACATTCACAGAGCGCAAGGGTGGCATATTTTGCAAAAAAAAAGCAGAAACAAATGCAACTCGGTCAATTCCAGTATGATACCCCGTGTAGCTCATACTCGCCGTAACTTTTCGGATTCCATTTTATACACATTTTTGATAATTGAATCAGGTCGGAAACCCGCATTTTCTTCCCCAAAAAACCGACCCATATCCGGCATCTCGTCATCGTCGCCCATAAAATGTGTGTCGTCGATGCACGACTCGGGCTCGGAGGTCATCGACGCCACCGAGGGCGAGGTACGGCCTGGAAGTGAGGCTTAGCTTAGGCTTAGCTTAAGCTCAACTTAGGCTCAGGCTTAGCTTAGGCTTAGACTTAGGCTTAGGCTTGGCCCTCGAGAGCGTCTGCAGTCGCTAGAAACGTACCGGATACGCTGGCGGGCACGGAGAGGAAGTTATGCGAGAAGTGGTCGGACCGTTCCCCTGAAATCAAAAAATTGCTGAATTATTGCTACAGTACTTTACTCGACTATTTTAGGGGATCCTGCAGCCCCGGAATAGGATTTTCTATTTTTTCTTAAAAACTTTGTGAAAATTAAATCAATATTTATACTTCCGGTGTGCTGAATTTTTAAAATATGGATAGGAAAAATTGCAATAACTTAAGCCAAATCTTGGAAAATGCAAGGTCGGCTTACTATTTTTTCAAGATTTATCGGATCGCTTCTTTTAATCGAAAACGCCAAAATTAAAAATTTTTGAAATTTCTGAAATTCTGAGAATTCATTTCGAATTTTTTAATTTTCGACGAATTAGAATTAAATTAAAACCGTTTTTAAAAATCGTTATTTTATGTCTTCTAAAAATTTGGGTTAAACTGGTTACAAATATAATTTAAATTCAGTAAGTTACTAATTTTATCATTACTACATAAATATTCTTTAAATATTTCTAATTTGGTTAATTATCTATTTCCATTGATAATTCTTCAGAATTCATATTTTGAAATCGGGAATTTACAAAATTTTTGGTTCTAATCCCCAAAACCCAAGTCCAAAGCTCAAGCTCAAAAAGTTTTAGCCCCAGGGCCGGCCGTCTGCAAAAGTGGACTGGGTTCAAGGCCCGTGCAAGGGGCCTGTGGGGGCCCCCGGCGGGCCATTCCTTATCTACTCAGGGCACACATGTCGTCCCGTGTGTGTAGATGGGCCCCAACACCAACCAAGAGAACAAGTCAGGGCCCAAATCAAGAGCCCAGGCTGAGACGAAGAGGGCCCAATTCCCCTTGGGGGGAGTGAGATGCGAGGGTGGAGGGCCATTTCCATCTCCCGCCATCCATTCTTCCGGGCCCCGGAGCAAGGCTCAGCCCTTTTTTGAGGCTGGCTTGGGGCCCACTTCTGCAAAAGGCCCAGATTTCCACCCTCGCTGGAGGTGGGAATTCAAGCAAATGGCTGCATTTGAATACGCTCGAAAAAATGCCGACAAACGAAACGTGCAAACGAGAGAATGCGGATGGCTAAAGTCCCGACGTAAAAACTACCGACAGCTGGAATGCCAAAAACAAAAATACCGACAAAAATAGAAAAATTAGAACCGTGAAAGCCGAAGGCCAGCCGGAATATCGGCAAAACCCTGAAATTATGAATGCCGACAGCTAGAATGCCAAAAACAAAAATACCGACAAAAACTCGACAAACTCAGCATGGAAAAGCAGCACGACAAACACCTTCACGGCGAAACTCCAGTCAAAATGTCGACAAAGTTTTGACGTTCAAAATACCTACAGCTAGAATGCCAAAAAAATCTATTCAGAAAAAATTAAAAATCGGCCTTGGAAAAGCCAAAAATCATTAAGCCAGAATGCCAAGAAACAAAACACCGACAGCCTCAGGCTTCACACTACAAAAATACCGAGAAAAATGTCGGCAAGAAAATACCGTCTAGAAAATACCGACATTCAGAAGGCAGCTAACAGGATGGCAATTCGTAAAATGCGGAAAAATACTACTTTTTGCGGGTTTTTGAAGGCACCAGTGGGAAATTTTAGCTGTCGGCATTTTCGGGGAATTATGACGCTTTTAGTCGATCTCGATTTGCCAGTTTTTATCGGCATTTTGTTTGTCGGCATTTTGCTTGTCGGCACTCTTTAGCGGGTGTCGACATTTCGGCATGGACTTTCTTCGCTTGTCGGCATTTCTGAGGTTTAGGTCTAACTACAAAGATGGAAATTCGGTAGCCCAAAAACTCCAGTTCGAATCATTTCGGAATACATTATTCCGCTACACTCCTGTGTACCTGTCCTCGGCGGTGCTGTCCCGACCCTCTTCAGCCGTCTATGCCCCTTCCGCAATCGTCCATTAATAACCGGATCCTGTTCGGAATTCGTAGACCGTTCGCGGACACTCGTCCACCGTACCACACGGCCACGCCCATTTTGGAAGACGTCGTCCAGACATTCTGGAGACGATTCTACCATCCCCCTGAATTCGGGTCGGCTGAACGCGGAAAAACTGCATCTGGTAGCGAAACAGAAGCGAAAATTGAGCATAAGAGACACACGACGGTAAAAATTCAGAATGCGCTCCTTTAGAGAGAGTTGGAGAGAGAGAGAGAGAGTTAGAGAGAGAAAGCGCGAGATAAAGCGAGAAAGAAAGCGAGAGGAAAGAGCATAGAAAAATTTCTGTCCCGCCGCCTTTAAAATCAGCTATCGATCAGGCCAAACAAAGCTCGGCCGGGTTGGACACGTGGAATGTGAGCACGAGAGAGAGAGCGAGAGAGGGAGAGCGTGAACAAAGTTAGGGACCGGGCGTGCTGAACAGGTGTCCCATTGGTGGGCCCGTGTTTTTTGGGGGCGGAGGTCGAGAACTGAGCCTCAGGGGTAGTCGGTGGGGCAAGGTAGCAGAGGCTTTTTGAGGATTACTTTGGCGTAATTTGCAGACGATGAAATCGGAGCAATAAAGAGAGCGAGAGGGTGAAAGAGCGAGAGAGAAAGAGAGAGAGAGACAGAGACAGTGAGAGAGAGCGAGCGCCCGAGAGAAATTCCGTAGCAAACCCCAATCCAGCGTTGTTTTTTCGAGACAGCGTCCCTAGGATGGCCGCGTAGCCCCTCCGCGAGTGTGCAAGTCGGGCCACTACGTATTAAATCGGTGCCCAGGGGTCAACAAACCATTTTGGTGGGGCGCCGAGGAGGGCCGCGATTTGGGAACCCCCCGGAAATTGACGGGCCGCCCCATTTGGACTGGCAGGTAGGCAAAATAGCCACAAAAATTTGAAAGGATGTCCGAGGTGTTGGGAATCGGTTTAAAGGGGGGTGACAGCAGGCCCGTAAGGGGGCGAGGGGGGCGAGCCGCCCCCCGAAATCGGCCGAAGGACGAAAAGTTCATAAGGGGGGGACCCTTATGATTTAATTTTTCCAAAAAATTTTTTGCGTGCGGCGCTGTTTTTGTTTATTTTTAACACTAGTTTTAGTGTTATAAACCCTGTTTTCAAAAATTTTGCCTGCGGCGCTGTGGTTTTCGTCATAATAGTGAAAAATTTTTGGGGTCGCCCCCCCCGAAATTTGGGTTTGTTACGGCCCTGGGTGACAGTATTCTCAGGGTTCTTCAAAGATCTCTTCAAAGATCTAAAGGGAATCTACTAGCTAGGAAAATTTGAGCACGAGCCTTGAAAATATAAATTCTATCTAAAGTATCGTGAGTTCCGAAAGAATCTCGGCTCAACAGCTGAGCAAGAGCGAAAGACGGTAAGATCCAGATAGCGCGGAGCTAGCGAGGGAGCGTGAGAGAGTGATAATGAGGAGCACGAAAGAGTGCGAGAGCCAGAGATATAAAGATGTAACTAAAGAGCGAACGAGCGTTTGAGCAAGAGCGAGAGTGAGAGATACAGAGATAGAGAGCGCCAGAGAAAGGGAGAGAGCGAGAGCGGGTAAGCTAGTAAAGGAGCACGACATTCCTGGTATCGCATCCCCTTTAAACATGACTCAAAACCTGCTCCAATTTCGAGCACGAATAATGAAACTCCTGGCGGCTGAATATCAGCCCTATGTGGGTGGGCCCCCGGGGCTCTTCGCCCGTTTTTTGTGTGGAGTCTGACTCAAGCGCCACCGGTGTCACTTTCCACCCAGCCGGGGATTTTCCCAAGGTGTGCAAAGCAGGGGGAGAAGCCGCCTCTTCGCGGCTCAACCATCGGATTGCATTTCAAACCCGCAGGGCAGCAGGAGGGCCCGGCCAAGTTTTTCGCCTCCAAAAATCCGTGAAGCGGCCAGAGGAGTCACGGCATGGATCCACTTATTTAAATGGTAAACGAAAGGTTTTCGGTTGAAATTCCTGACATTAAAACAGGAAAAACGTAAGGAAATTGAATGCTCATTTTTCAATTTAGATGGCTTCTACAGGTAAAATTTAAAATCTCACCTAAATCAGGCTAACTTTAGAGAAATCCAGCTAAAGATAAATATAGCTAGAGAGAGAGGGGGAGAGAGAGAAAGTGAGAGTGAGAGAGAGAGCGACAGAGAGAGAGAGAGAGAGAGCGGTAGACATAGAGCGGGAGAGAGAGCAGCAGAGAGAGAGAGAGATAGAGAAAGCGAGAGATATAGCGAGAGAGAGGGGATCGTGAGAAAGGGAGAGCGATACTACAGTCAACCTCGCTGCTCTGGTTTCCAATGATCAGCTCCTCCAAAAAATCCGCCGCGTCGAGCATGACGCGTTGGAGCTCTAAAGTTACCTAAGAAATTCAGAGACGCACTAAAATTAGCGGAAATTTGAGCAAGTGAAGAGGAGTTTGCGCATCATTTGAAGCGAAAGCCTTTCCACCTGATGACTAAAGGAATTCGACCCCACGAAAAAGTCGAAGTGACGTACGCGGGAATGTTGGCTACGCTCTGCGGAATGAGGAAATGTTGGGGGGATGAGCAGAAAGCGTTGAGGAACAGCCGTTCGCTACCCTGACATTCGGCTCAACCCATCGAACCACAACAAAATATCAGTCATCCCCCGGATTGGACACTTGTCTCAAACAAGACATTTTGAAGTGATTGCGGAATTAGAAAACAGGATACTGAGGTGGTAAGCTGGCAGAGGTTCTTTGGGAATTTCGAATATCGTGGGCTGATAGCAGTGATCCCTCAGGAAATCTAGGATAAGGGCAGGCTAGCAGAGATCATTCAGGAATTTTGACGCAGTGGGCAGGTTAGCCGAGATGCTTTAGGAATTTTCGCGCAAGAGGGCAGACCAGCAGAGATTCTTTAGGAAACTCAAGGCCTTATGCAGACTAAGAATGTGCTTTT